TGGCAACCCGTGACGAACGGTGTAGTAAGAAAGGCCCGGAGCCCCCCCCCCTCCACTTATCAGTTTTTGTAGTTTTGAAAAAACCTCCAGTTCCCCTATTTCTGCAGACATGCTTGATCAAGATCCCTTACTGTGTGTATCAAGGAAAATTGATTGAGTCTAGCTCTATTCTACATTAATTCATTACTACAAACTTGTATTATATGGGAGGGATTCAAATTTAGGCTTTACAAGTAAATGGTAGAATCCTTGCACTACCGGTACTTCATGTAAATACTTTTAAATACCGTACATGTAATTAATGAACCGAATTACATTTACATTTGCGTTTCATATTCTTTTAGAGAATTGAATTTAAGCATTATTTTAATTTAAATATATTTGGTAGATAACATGCAGATCGTAAACTAAACTGATTATAAAAGTTGCTTAATATGAACAAATATGAAATCTAACCTTTTAAGTTAAATACAGCAACCATTAGTTTGCCTAGTGCATCGACCAAGGCAAATTCCTCATTGGCGCTCCCTTCCTTTAAACTCCATTTCTTATGTTCAGCTTTTCGTCTGGTTCTTGCAGACCTGGTGGGGTGGTTCTTACCAAGGTTACAAGTGTTGGTGAATAACATAAACAGCTGACTTAAAATACTTTCTTTTACTTTAAGTTTCCACTCTCATCACGGATCTGATACTGAGTTTATTTACCATTTACAATATCAGTTTGTGCTAACAGAACTTCAAATTTATTATCTGTCATCATCATTATTGTAATGAAATAACGTCACCCTTTTTGCCAATAACTTAGCTGTCCTCGGATTTTTTTAAGCACAATGTTCCATACCTTAATACATATATTATATATTTTTCTTTTCCATTTTTTTTTTAAAAGTTAAATATGTTAAAAATTCTGGGTTAAAAACACAAATTCGGCAAACAGTTGAAAGTTATTTGCGGACATTATGTTTTAAGACTTAAATGACCTACATACCCTGTTTTACTGAAGATTGTTGACCTGGAACTGTTTGAGGACGCAAGGGATGTTACTGTGGCTCCAGTCATACTTGTTGTGTCTGAGAAAAGATCTGCACCTGCTTCATTCCACTCAGCCCCGTCATCTGGAATATATCAAAAACAAATACAGCAATGTTTATAAGAAAAATAGAAATAAAACAAAAATTCAGATTTCAAAAGCTTTTTTAAGTTAATATAATACCTGTTGAAATGATATGTTTATTTTTTATTCAAATTATATGTTAGTATTGTCAGACACACACAGTTCCTATTAATTTTCTAATATTTTTCACTTATTTAAAATCCAAATTCAAAAAGACATCAAAGGCAGTTTGGTGAGAACCCTAATATGATAAAA